CCAGGGGCAACCCAAGCCTCCTGCTTGCTCCAGCTCCGTGGCTGCCAGCCGCCATCTTGGTTGGGATAATTTGCATATAGTCGCTCTGATTGGCTGGTGGGCATGGCTTAAGGTGTAGCGAAGGTACGGTCAATTTGCATGTTTGTCTTTTATTAGTGTAGATTTTTCATGATATGAAAATTCATAGAGACAAAAGGCTAATTAGCTGTTGCCTGGGATTGGAAAAGGAGTGCATGAAGACTGGCTACTCTTGGGTATGGCTGTTTTGGGAAGGGGTGAATAAAAGGTTTGAAACTAGATAGAGATGGTGGTTGAACAATATTGCAGATATACTAAGTGCTGCTGAAATGTATGCTTTAAAACGATTGATTTTATGTTATGTAAATTTCACCTCAATTGAAAAAACAACAACTATTGTTAGGCAATTATTTCCTAGGTAAGCTAATCAGCATCTTCCTTAGGTAGCTTTCAGGTAGTTCAAATGATCTTTAATAGGTCTCTACAAAATTATATATGCCTACCATGAATGCTTTCAGGGAAGGAACATATCAAATAAGGTAGTTGTGGTAATTGAAATGTAATGGCAATCTATTTTTTTTAAATTCTTAAGTGTTTAGTATTCTGATATAAGTGACCTATTTAAAACCATTGTTTCACCTTGCTTTTCTTCCCCAGAGAACCAAAAAAGGGGGATATTTGGAGAATTTTTAAAAAGTAATCTTAATGTGGATTGACTTGTGGAGAAAGTAATTTGGAAGGAAAATGTTATTAATTTAAAACAAACAAACAAAAAAACAAAACAGAAATCTATACTTTCTCTGACTGACTTATTTCACTTAGCATAATACTCTCTGGAAGTAACTGGTTTCTTTGGGTTTTTTGTTTGTTTGTTTGTTTGTTTAATAGTCCCTAGGTTTAGGCTGTTCTAGTATTTTTTTTTCAATTTAAACAATATATCAATTTCTTGATTTATCAGCTTGGATTGAATTCAATTGACTCCTCATTTTAAAAAATAGCAATTAAATGCAATTTTATTACCAACTCAATTCTCTCCATTTTTTGTTGAAATCATTATATCCTATTAGTATACTCTATGATATGTAAATGTTTTCTGCGTCATCAACTTCAGATATTGTGTTTTTAACTCCCAAGTTGAAAAGTTTAGGAAATTACTCTTTATTTCTAACATCTTATTATCTAAAATGTTGGCAATTTTAAGATCTTTAAAATGTCAAAGTTTGTTTCATTTACATTTAATTCTGTAACCATAAGTAGATCTTCTTTGCTTAGTGTCTGAGTCAAATAATGTAAACCCAGTCAATAAGGAATGATGGAAATATGGGCATTATTCATGCAAAACCAATTATCTAACTGGACCCATAAATAAGGCCTTGTAATTCTCTTTCACTTAAGGGATTAGATAAAATGTCTTCTCACATACCACTAGATAAAGTATATTATGTCAAACTTAAAATCTTATTTCAGTCTTGGTGTTCATTTTATATTTGAAATATGATAAATCTATTTAAAACAAAAGTTGCCTGAGCCTTCTCTCTTGATCAATATTTAATACTAGCTGATTGAATTAAAAATTTGTCAGTATATTTGTCTTTGTTGAAGTACCTTTCCTTTTTTCCCTCAAAATAATTATTTTTTATTTTCTTCTTTTAATATTGATTTTTAGAGAGAGAGGAAGGGGCAGGGAGAGAGAAATATGAATGCTATAGTGAAGCATCAATTGGCTCCTCTTGTACACCTCCTACCAGGGATTGAGCCCTCAATCCAGGCATGTGCCCCAACCAGGAATCAAACCTGCAGCTTTTCGGTGCATGGGATAATGCCCAACTAACTGAGCCACACTGGCCAGGGTAAAAATACTTTTTATAACTATTTGATTTTAAAAGTTTTGCTATTTAATGTTCATATAGAAAGTATTTAAAAATTAATACTTAAGGATAATATGACATGCTGTACTAATGGTTAATCCATATGTGAGGTATTGCTTATGTATACATAGAACTAGAATTACAATTATAGGGTATCACAGAATTCTCAGTGCAAACACTGTGAATATATTATAATGTGGCAATGGCATATGATCATGCATATATATTTAGCTGATAACATTTTATGCATATAATTTGTAATTTATATGTTATATATGAGAGTTTTGATACCCACATTTTTTTTGGAGAAAACATTAGAAAATGACTTCAGTGTGAATTTCAAAATTAATATCAGAGTGAGAGGAAATAAAGGCCCAAGAATATTGAAAATCATTCATCTATATATGATAAATGTGTTTAGTTACTAAGAATTATGTTTATTATGCTTTAGCTTAATAAGCTATGTACTTAATAAACTGTGATGGCAATAGAAGCCCTAAATTGGTTTAACATGACTCTTTTATCTTCCTTTCTAGAAGGCACTTCAGTGCAGTGGAGGATGGAGGTAAAGATCACTGCAATGAAATAAAGATACCAGGTATGGCCTTTTCCCTCCATGAATCCTCCAGTTCCTTATCTGTATGAAGGTAATCATCATATAAATAATATTACTGAGTTGCTGCAAAGATTAGAGATAATGCATGTATAATGTCTACCTCAGATCATGGTTATTAGTATTAATCTTGCTCATTGCATTTTCTTGTAATGAACAGGCCTGTTGTGGCCAACCAAAGAAGATGGGGTGCGATGTTTTTGATACAGTTCATGCTACAGCACCCTCCAGTCTCAGATTTCTCTTTTGGAATATGGGATTATAATAATGTCTATTCCCCGGAGTGGTCATCACCATTACATTAAGAATATAAGTTATGTGAAATAGTGTGTAAACTATAAAACTCTACCAATGTTAGATATTAAAATGGGTTATTAGGATAAGACAAAATAGATTTAAAAAAATCAAAAATGCATTTGCAAGTGTGGCTGATAGGCCCTACAGTGGGATGCATCTATTCAAACAATATGAATTGAGGCTTAGAATATACTTCTTCTAGGTATATTAATTGATTATAGTAGTAATTGAAACAAAACCATGTGAGATAACTACTAATTACAAATTAGGAATATGAGCCATGGTGAGTACAGCTAAAAAGTACTGGGCTAGGATTCAATACAAGGCAGTGTGGATCCAGAACAAACTAGTTTTGAAAGATGCATGAAGAAATCTATTTATATGTCAAAGAAGTCACAAAGAATTAATTTATCGGGGACATCACGGATCTTACCAAGAGCTTGTTTTTATTGTCCATTTAGAAATTCAAAAGATATATTTGCATTTTCACTTTTCAAATCTTTTATTAACTGATTTACTTCTCTGTAGTATACTTGAGAATACATAAATGTGAAGGTGAAGAACAGGATTGGGAAATTGTCTGTTTGAAAAATAATCATTCTCCTTCAACTGTAATTTTAAAACAAGGAAGTTGTGATATTTGAGCACTCTTGCTTTTAGAAATGGTGTTTCTTTTGCTCTGACACTGAAGGAGTTAATACAGCTAGCACACAATAGAATCCAAGTACAGGCACTTGGAATAAATAACAACTACAGACCTGTCATGACTGTGTCTTGAGTAATGGGATTCATTCATTTTGGTATTTTTAATGCAATTGTAAACTGCCATTTTCCTTACAATTTAAAGCAGTTTTTTGGATGATATAGCTACCAATGTGAAAACAAAATTAACTTGTCACATTTGAGTGGCTAAAGTATTTCCCAATCCCATTTTTAGGGTATTGCTAAAACCTCAATGATCTGGAATTAAATCAAGAGGAAGAATGGCATTTTGAGGGTTACAGAAATGTCCCAAAGATGAAAGATATAAAGAATGTTGGTAATATGTGGTTGTTTCTGAAGTACAGAATGTTTTATATTAAAAATAAGAACACACAATCCTGTGCTTAATGTCAGTGAGTCAATACCCACAATTGGAAACAGCACTATCATGCAATATTGACTGGCACTGGTATTTTATTGTTTATCAGATTAACCCTATGTATTCTTGGGGAATTCTCTATTTTGAGTAACTTAAACTTATTCTCCCCACCTTAACTCACTTGTTTCTGAAGGTAAAGATTTTTTTCTTAATAGTGTTAAACTTGGATTCATAGATCTACAAAGGATATCTAGACAGTGGAAGACCATCCTATTGAAGCAAAGGAGGAAATTCCCTTAAGGAGAGGTATTTCTTGAAATGAACCCTTGGCAGGCTAGGTGAAAAGGCCACCCCCACCAGCATCGTCAGGGGCCAATTTACAGAACCTTACCTGGGGAATTTTTACGAAAGAAGCATCTCCCATATTCCATCACATCAAAATACTTCCACTGCAGAATTATCTAAATTCATTTTGTCTTAACCTGCCCAGCCTCATGCTTGTGGAATGAAAACTTATCAGGATATATGGGAGAAAAGAAGAGGCTTGGGTCTCTTTAGCAGGTGATAAAATACTTATTTATCAAAAACAAGGACCCAAATTAAAACACAACAAACAAGCTTTTTACTAACAGTGAAGAACTCTCTATACTTTCTGCTCAATTTTGCTATGAGCCTAAAGCTGCTCTAAAAAATAAAGTTTATTAAATTTTAAAAAGAATACTGTAAACAACTTTAGTAGCTAATGAAATGCCAATGTCATAATTAAAAAAAAACACCTGATGTATGTTCCTACAACATACAAGAACCATGAAAACACTTTGCTCAATGAAAGAAACCTGTGACAAGAGACCATATATTGTGTGATTCAATTTACATGAGATTTCCAGAATTGGAAAATCTGTAGGGAAAGTAATAGTGGTTGTCCAGGGTTGGGGATGAGAGTTTTTGAAGGAGATAGGGACTGACTGCCAAATGTTATGGAGGTTTCTTGAATGGGGTATGATGAAAATATTCTAAAATTATTTTAAGAATGAATGTATGCCTCTTCAGATGTACTAAAAACCATGGACTTATACACATTAAATAGGGAAATTTAATGGTATGTAAAATGCATCTCAGTAAAGCTGTTAAATAATCTATGGCTATCTTAAAAGCATTTTGATATAATGCCTGCATCATGACAAAACATACAATAACCTCTTATTAGATGGTCTTCTTGAGAGACATGTTTTTTCAAATGATTGCCATTTCCTTCTTTCACATTTAATCAATTATATTAGATAAGTTTCTTCCTTGAAAATGTGCATCTGTGGTATAATCTGTTACCTGAATCACTTTTTTAGAGAGCACTATATATCCATTTATATTTATTTATGAATTTCTAGTCTAGTATCATTAGTTAAAAGAAAAATGCTACAGGAGTCAAATGGGACTCAGTAAGGGCCAATGTCTGTTACCTTTGGTCAAGGATAATTTAGCAGATAAGCAATTTTTACTAAAATATAAATTAAGTAGGGGTGGCTAGCTTAAGCTCTGCAAGTGACTTTTTCAAAAAAAAAGTTTAAGTCAAATAATTCACAGTATATATTTTAATCTTCCATGGAAATACACAACTACATATATGATTTTTGTGTGTGTGTGTGTGTGTGTGATTTAAGAGACCAGAATTTAGGAGATTTGATCTACAAAAAGCAGATCGGAAGCAGAAACAATTGACTGTCAAGTTGGAGTCACATTAAACCGTACTCCAGGTTTCTGGGGTAATATAATTTTCCATTTTTCCTGCTTGCCTTTTTAGCCTTTCCTGGACTCTCTTCTCTTGCTGAATAATCACATTTGGTGTGCTCTGTGGCTCAGTCCTTGGAGCTTCTCTTTGCTTTATCTACAGTCACTCCTAAATAATTGCATATAACTCTGCTTTGAAATAGCATGTATAAGATAAATCTGAGATTTGTCTCTAGTTCAGACAGATTTACAGAACTGTGCTACACCACACTGGAGCTCCAGGCAAAAGGAAACACCAGTAGTATCGATCCTGTCGGTGTTGTTTTTCTATTGCTGTTGAAGTAAATTACCACCAAACTTAGCATCTTAAAAAAAAAATCAGACAAATTTCATATCTCACATTCTGTAGGTCAGAAGTCTAGTGGGTTCATCTGGTTGCTATGCTCAGGGCCCCACAAGGCTGAAATGAAGGTGGGCTGGGCTCTTCTCTGGAGTCCTTAAGGGAGAATAGACTTCCAGGCTTACTCAGGTGTTGGCCAAACAATTACTTGAAGTTATAGGGCTAACGTCCTTGTTTCTTGGCTTTCTGTAGCTCAGGGTTGTTCTTAGCTTCTGTAGCTTCTATAGTCTACCTCTTGCTGTTTTAATGTCTTCTATCTCTTCTTCTACCACATATCTCTGAATCTCTTGGTTTCCTTTCCTTTTTTTTCTTATTTTTATTGTTGACATTATTACAGATGTTCCCCAAATTTCTCCCCCTTTACCTTTTCTCCCAGCCCCTGTCCCACCCCAGTGTTCACCACACTATTGTCTGTGTCCATTGGTTATGGATATATGTATATAAGCTTTTTGGTTAGTCTCTTTACTAAATGCCACCCCCCTCTTTCTCTGAGATCTGTCAATCTTTTACATGCCTTCATGTCTCTGAATCTATTTTGTTTGTCAGTTTATTATGTTCTTTAGGTTCCACTTATAAGTGAGATCATGTGATATTTGTCTTCCTCTGACTGGCTTATTTCACTTAGCATAATATTCTCCAGGTACATCCATGCTGTTGCAAAGGGTAAGAAACCCTTCTTTTTATAGCTGCATAATATTCCATCATGTAGATGTACCACAGCTTTTTTATCCACTCATCTACTGATGGACACTTGGGCTGTTTCAAGATCTTAGCTATTGTAAATGGTGCTGTTATGAACATAGGAGTGCATATATTCTTTTTGATTGCAGTTTTAGAATTCTTAGGGTATATACCTAGAAGTGGGATTGTTGGGTCAAACAGTAGTTCCAGTTCTATTTTTTTTTTTTAGTAAATTACGTATTGTTTTCTATAGTGGCTTCACCAATCTGTATCTTGGTTTCTTTCCTGTTATCAAGGGCTCATGAGACTACAAAGGACTTATTTAACAATCCAGGATGATTTCCAATTTTAAGAGAGACTGCTTAGCCGGCTTAACCATATGACAAGTCCCTTTTAGCAGATGAGGTCATATATTCAAAGGCATATCGCTAAGGGTTATTGATCATAGGAGCCAAAATACTTAAAAAATTTTGCTCTTTTGTTCACCATGAATTGTTTGCATTAATTTTGATTTTAAAACTATATCACATTAAAATATTGATTATGATTACTGCAAGTTTTGGCTCACTTTTAAAATTGACATCGAGGAGAGTGCCTCATTCACCTCACCATAATTTTGGCCTTGTAATATCACTACCGGCCTACTGAGATATTCAGCTGGAATTCCAGTGGACTTCTCAAATGTTTCATGTCCCAGATCAAACTCCTGATTGCTCCTTCAAAACCTGCTGTTTCCCTGAATGCTCCCTATTTCAATAAACAATCATCTCCATTGACCCAATTGCTGAGGTAAAAA